GAGAACGCGATATCTCGTTACCGAGAGATGCGTTTATTTACTTTCGATACCTCGTCCCTCGTCAAACTATTTATGCATCGTAAATACGTCAGAGTGCAAGTTTTCACGTTTATTCCAATATTCATACTAATTTCGACTGTTTTATATTATATAAAATCGAGCATAGATTTCGAACAATTTCCTCGATCGATTGATAGAAAGATTTTCAGTGTTACGTCAAGCTTATGCATTTATTAATTAGAAAAACTAGCGACGCAATAATGAGAGAATGAAAACTTGTGCACTCACCGAATCCAGCAATAGGTGAACGGACATAACTGGTGATGCGAGTCACTAGGTTTCCACGCGACGCGTATCGCGAAACACCGCAGGAGTTGGCGAATTTTCGGTGGACGGCGGCGTGACGTGACGCGTGAAGGGGCGTAAACCGGCCGGGTCGAACCGTTCCCTCATGGCCGGTCGTTTCCGGCGTTCGACTACTAGAGAACGAAACACCTCAGACAGAGTCCTTTTCACGTTGTCGAGAAATGCCAAATCGATTTACAGACATTCTGTACTGTCCGTATAAAATGGCTATGCGTCTGTCCTTCAATTACTTGTGATTTGACATTTTGAAACAATTTCTAATACATTCTTTCTGAGGTCAAGAACTGTATGCTCAGACATTCGAAGAACAGTGGATAAAAAGTTACACATAATTATCTACCACTTTATAAGTAAAACATAACGCAATACGGACGATCATTCTGAACTTCGAATTATATAAATATCTGAAACAGAGACAGGAAATGAAACGGACGTTCCCACAGCAATTTTACATTTTCAACAGAATGCACCTCTAAGCATGAGACTGCTGAAACGTAGGTGATCCCGGGTTAACGAACAGAGCTGTCGTTAACGTTCCCGTGCGAGAACAGGGTACTCGTGACAACGTGACAGAACTTTGGCCGTGGGTTCACTCAATAATTCCCCGGTCTAGCGGCTGCAGCGAATAAAGTAGAAAGGTACGGAGAGAGAGGTATAGGTAGTACTCACGGATAAAGAGGGTGAGAGGGAGGGTCGGCAGCTGGAGTGAGAGAGAGAAAGAGAGAGAGAGCGAAAGAGCAACGGGAGTCCGCACGTCATTTTTCACCGCACCTTCGAGCAACGGGACGCCCTGCTCGTAAACAAATGCCGCGCTATCGAAAGAGAATGAAATAAGCTCGCGTCGAGCCGTTCTAACCTCGATGCCGTTCGCGTCCACGGTATTGCGACGAGCCTTGGCGATGATCGTGCGGTCCGCGGAAAAAATCTGGGATCGACGCGAGCTAACTGACAGCCGCGGACACGCGACACACGTCACAACACACCACCACCCGCCGCCATTCACTATACGCCGAGACGCGTGCGGTTTCCTGACGAGAGACACGGATCGGTAAAACGAACGCACACGTGTCTCTGTTCACTCACGCGTGTAACAGGTTAGCCCATCGGATCGGTCGTCCCGTTCGCACGGTCAATAATAATCGCGGATGAACGTTTTACCACTGTAACGTGCAACACCGACGACCGCGACTGTCATGGCAGACTGCTTTGCGACGTTGAACCGGTGGCGACTGCTGGCGTCTCGAACAGTGTTGGTATATGGGACGGGTTTTCTCGCGCATGCGCGTCGTTTTCAATAACGTATCATGGCGCGCGTATGGTAAAATCAAGGGGCGCGGTAGCGACCAGAACGCGAGTTTGAGTCGTCAGGTAGCAGCATGTGCGTCGACTTACCGCGTACCCTTATGAAAAATTTATAATTTATCATCTGCACATGTTTGACAGATGAGATTATAATTGAAAATGCATGATGATCGTTTAATTTACAGCTTATTATAGCGTGAACGCTCTCATTTCCTCCCCGATAATATAATACATATTTCCCAGCAGCTGGCAGCACGCGATAAGGGTATTTATCAGCCGCTATAAAAGACCCACGAGGTCGATCAGAGTTCGCGATTCGCGAACAATGTTTTGATATACGGTCTCACGTGAGATAACCGACTGTTTTTAATGCAACGCAATGTTCTCTCGTTCTCTGTCGAGTGCACGCGCGTTCCTCGGCATCGAGGCTTGCATGAAATTCGTTGGCAACGAGTTAATCGCGTCCGGTCGTCGTTTGTGCACAATTAACGAGCGATGTCCCACTGTCGGCGAGGCGATCGAGCAATGGGGAGACCGGTTCAAGAGCGAAGGTGTTACGGAGCCCATAGAATCGATAGAGCATATCGTAGCTCACGTAATTGGAACTAGGAAGGTACAGCAGATGCAGCATGAACAATTAATGCAATTGAATCATTTGATACAATCCTTGAAACATCCTGTGTCTAATTCATCTCGTCGATGTATATTCGCTTGTAATCAAGCTTATTGACGTGCACTACTTTCAGATATTAGATGTAGTAAACTCGCGGGATCAACAACTCACGGTGGATCAACGTGATCTACTGGATTCGTTATGCGAATGTCGACTGTCTAGGTAAATCCTATTTAGGAACAGATTGTGATGTATGTAATTGGATAGTTGATTAACGCTTGTAGAATGCCGGTTCAGTACATAATAGGAGAATGGGATTTCCGTGATATTAATCTAAAATTGGTCCCACCGATTTTCATACCGCGACCGGAAACGGAAATGTTAGTTCATTACGTTTTGAAAGCTCTGAGTTCTTCTTCTAACGAGGGCCGAGACGTTTTAGATATCGGATGCGGCTCAGGTGCCGTAGCCCTTTCAATCGCGCACAGCGATAAAACAGTAATTAATTCGAATATCATTTGTTCTCTATTCGTTTAGTGTTAGACAATTGTGTTTGAAACGAATAAACGCTTTTTAGGTAAGTTGCACTGCGATCGATTCGAATCAGCAGGCGTGCGAATTGACTGTAGAGAATCGGGATAAATTAGGTTTACAGGACCGCGTCGCAGTGGTACGTGCGACTCTTGAAGACGACGGGACTATGAGATTTGGAAATGTGTTGAGTGCACCCAAAGATATCGATCTAAGCTCAAGAACGTTTGACCTGATCGTCAGCAATCCGCCCTACGTACCTACCAAGCAAATACCTACGCTCTCTCCGGAAATTAAACTGTAATTACATTTCTTCATTCTTATCTATCATTTTTACGACTGATTAATTATTTCTCTTTTAATTTATGGTACTATTTCGTATCTAATCTCTAGTTACGAAGATTTGGCGGCTCTGGATGGGGGAGACGATGGTCTAAAGATTATCAAACCTCTGTTAAAGTACGCGGCCACAGGGTTGAAACCAGGGGGACGTTTGCTTTTGGAAGTTGACTCCACGCATCCCGAATACATACAATTCTTTACCAAGAAATATCCCATACTGAAATTACAATACGAGCACACGTACAAGGACTTTTGTAACAACGACCGATTCGTTGAAATATCAAAAGTATCATAGATTAAAAATACTCTGTAAATATTTCTTAAACGAATAAAGTCTATTTAAATGCATTTCATTATTCCTCTCGTATTTAATTATGAAATCGATGATATGTATTTACAATGAGAAACCAGAGATAAGAGTAATAAATAATCTAACAGTGGATACAAAAAAAACTATCACTCGTAATAACTTACATGTGTATATTACATGACTAATTATCAATAAATACTTTTAATTAAATAATTTCTACTTCGTCTAATTTCATTTCTCGGCAGTCTTATCAGAATATGTTAGTGAGTACGTGTTGTATTGTACGTGAGTACGTATTGTACAAATGTTGGTTAATCGAAGCGGTATAAAAATTATGTACAATTATTATTACAAATGCAATTCCGAATACTGTTTTGTATACGCTTAACCAATAAATAGTAATTACCATTAACTATACCTTATTTTTTATTGAGGCGAGAACTTTTCGAGTTCCCTCTTGATCGAGGCTATCAACGGCACCGCCGGGTCTTCCGGCGGCAATTGACTGTCAGTAAGTATGCGTCTGGCGTCGACTTCCGGCAGATTGGGCCTGTGAAACGGGCCAGCGCTCAGCGGCCTCGAGCTCCAGACGCCGCGAGACCGGAACTGCACGCTCCGTCCATTTTCACTCATGTTCGTGTCCGGGACTGGTTTCCCAGGTACCGAGGTGCGAGGCCGCGTTTCTGAAAATATCGTAAGAACGTCCGGTGAACGCGCGGCGGAAGTCGGCCGCGAGTACGTCTCGACTTTCGGGTCTCTGCTTCCAAAGAGGCTGAACGAATCCTCCAGCAGCTCATGAAGCCTTCTTCTAGCTTTCCCGACTGGTCTCGACGCTGTCGCGTATGCTGCATCAACGTCAGTTCCCGAAGCAGGACCTACAATAATTTTAGGAACAAGTTATGGTTTAACTAATTAGTTTAATAGTTATGATGATTTTTTAATATTATGAGTGATACCTTCGGTAGATGCGTTCTGCCTGCGAAGACTCCAAACTATAGGCCCGACGACTCCGGGATCTTTAGCAGCACTGGAACTCCGGGCGAAAAATTGATCACCCGGCTCGTAGTGATCGCTGTCGCGTCTCACCAACTCCGGAGAATCTATGTCCAAATGTTTCACCTGTGAACAAATGAATAAGTCCTTACGAAACAATCTCATAATACAAGTTTCATAAGACAATTTTTATATTGCACAATGAGGGAGCTCACCATGACAGGTTCTAAGACCCTGGAAAGAGGCTCGACGCTCTTCATGCTTGGGAACGGCTTACAGGATGGCATGGAGAGGTAAGAATGGGGCGAGGCAGTGGCTTCCTCTTCCTCCTGCGTTCTGCTGTAATTGTTCTCCAATGAATCCAACGCTTCTAATTGATCAACAACCACGTCCATCGAGTCCGACGTTCGAGGCGTGTCGATGGCATTCGATCGCGACATTTTTCCGTGTGCCAATCTATGAACAAATTGATTAGACGTTCCTACAATTATATTTTCATACAATACACGTTGTACAATTTTTACAATTATTTTTATACATACATGAAAATAACGATATAATAAATACGTATAAAATTGTACCTGGATTTTTTTGGAGGATGTTCCCAAGGACTCGGTTCCCTAGTCTTCCTTTTCTGCGAATCGTCCTCCTCGTCGCTCGAGGCCTGAACTGCCGCGTCAAGACTGTCTGGAGTCTCCAGAGAAATTTGAGTCCTAGACAGAGACCCAGGAGTATGTCTCTGGCTGGTACCGTCAGTCTACGATTAAGAATGCACGAAACGGATAGGAAGCGATCGATACGGATAACTGCTACCCTAATAAATCAGTCCGAAAGAACGCGGAAACGCGAGCTCCGTTTGTCAATAATAGTTAAGTCAATAACCCCTTGGATATAAACTCTAAGTAGTACGTACATTAAACTTGGAATGAATGAACGGCGCGTTTGAATGAATAAAACATGTTGCTGGCTAATTTGTAGATTTATTAAAAATTGAATGTCTTTGATATAAAATACCTTAATATCCAACTCCGATGTGGAGAAGGCATTGTTGTCGAGACCCCCGGTCGCCTGTATGTATTCCCGGTTCTTCTTCAAAGTATGCTGACTCGGAGGCGCAGCCACCGCACTGTGAGATCTCTTCCTCTTCGCAGCGACTATTAATCCCAGAACGATGAAAGCTAGGAGAATAAAACCGACGCTAGCCGCGCCAATTAACAGCCACGCGTCTCTCTTCCTCGAGAGAGCCAACGGCCGTGTCTCCTTCAGATAAGCTGCACATAAATCAGAAGAATAAATGATACCGATAATCGCTTGAACTTTAATTACGTAAAATATTTAAAAATAAGCTTACGTTCGCTTTGTATTAGAACCGGTGCCCCGAGTTCCAACGCGACTTCCTGGGGCGATAGAAGAGCCATGTCCCTGGCGGCTGTCTCTGCTGGCACAGGCTTTCCACCCAGGTGAACGGAGTAAATCAACTTCGTGGCGCCGCCTTCGGTCACGCTCGTATTCTGCATCCGCACTTGCACGGTCTCCGCTCCGGAATCCAACGAACGCAACTCGGACCGCTTGCTCTCGTTTATATCTTCCGGTCCAGTATTATTCAACGTTTGTTTCCCAATCATGCGATTTAATAATTGAGACACATTTTGAAAATTGTGTTCATTCGTAGATCCTCTTCTTCGATTTTCTGTTTCATTTCTGAAACCTGTTTCCGCCTGTACCTCCGTTACAAATGAGTTCTCAGTTTTATTCGAAGATTTTAATTCTCCTTCTCTAAGGAGATTCAGTCTCAATGAGAAATTGCCAGTTTCAGAAATTGGAAACATAGGGTCCTCGTACTTATTGCTAGACACGTTCTGTCTATGTCTAAGATTCGTCGCCTCTTCGCTTCTCTGTGCGCGCGATTTGTACGAGGCTTTCTCGGCTTCCTCTTGACTTTCTAGCTAAAAGAATGTTTCATTCGACTGTTGAAGCATCGTCTACTAGAAAAAGGGAGATATATCAATTAATAAACTGATATACCTTGCTTTTAAAGAGCGTGTGCCCCCTCGCTATTCTCCGGAACCTCGGGTCCGTCTGCAGAAGACCCAAGTGGCGTTGCTGCTGTCGGGAGAAGGCCGTCTTGTACAAACGAGCCAGTTTCAACTCGATTTTAGGTGGTATCGCTTCCCCTGCCCGGAGAACCGTCAACAACCAATATCTATAAAACAATTTTTATTTGCTTTCGGTTATTATCAAATATCAATGAATTCAATGATCATTTTGCAATATAAATCAGATTATCTGTTAATACCTTGGGCCAGGGTCCTCTCCGATGAGGACTCCAATATTCTGATCATCCTCGTCGTCCAGTCTGGGCGTGGGCTCGATGCAAGTGGTGCAGCGGGGCTCCTTTGGGTCGCCGCGAGGGAACTGATTGTCATCCGTGTCCTCTGCGGGTGAATACAGCGTCACGGTGTGGTGAACCGTTCTGGTTTCGTATATGGTCAAGCCTTGGTCCGGGTCCACCCACGGCGGGGCGTCCTTCGCGTCCGACCAGAAGAAATCCTGTAGGTGCACTTTGCGGCCCGGCAGGTGTTCGATGAGAATGATCTCGTCCTCTGAAATTAACATTTCTAATGAATCCCATAAATCGTTGCGATTTTTATCACGGCATTTGTGAAAATCTGTATTTGCATGAGAATACGTGAAGGCCTTGCGCTGGTGATTTGAACGTGAAAATTGCAACGGGGAGACAATAAGATGCGGAACTCGCGCGACGCTTCCGCGGTTCACCGGAAGCTGCAAACGGACCATAAAATCAGGTCGCTCTGCCTCCAGACGAAACAATACAATACTCACACGTATGTATGCACGTACGTAGTTAAAAAAACGGATTATGCATTTACTTAAATAGATACGATACGGAAAACTATAAATCGTAATACAGACTATAATTTAAAATTCTAGATCGGAACTGTTGAACTTATTAGGTGTACATTGATAATTGCTTGTGACCTGCGGAACGAGTTAAAAAGTTTCTCATTCAACAAGTTGAAGTGCATTTAAGTACCTGTTTGCATTTCTAGTAAAAAGTTTCCATAAACATGTCGTGACTCCTAGTAGAATTACTTATTATCTATCGCAAGGTAGTCGACTTATTGTTCTTTTAATAGAATAACAAAGACAGATACGTAGTATAGGATATTATATAAATGTAGCATTGGTTACGAGAAGGAAAGAACCGATTCTTCTATGCCCCTCTACGCAAGCTTCTTAATTCAAACAGTCTGATATAAAGATTCCCGTACATAAGTACATATGTACGTACTCTACACCTTGTGTATTTTTAGCCAGTGGTGGTAGTGTTAAATCGATAAGGGACCGAGTTCCTATGGTGAAAATAATGTAAATTGATCCTGATTGAGTCTCCCCATTCCGTTACACTAAAACCCGACTCCCCGTCAATTGTATTTGGTTTCAGTTTCATTACGTGATCATAAATGATCAACCAGTATAATTTTACATTATTCCATGATACGATCACGATTTTATACTCAATTTTGATATGATCCATCAGTTCTATTTAATTGCACGATTCTCTGATATTTTTTTAACGATTGTATAATAAATAAAAGAAAATTATTTATTTATCACTATGAGTCTCTCTCAATAATTAATCGTACAGGATGTTTCGTGATTTAGAAATGATAGGAAACGGTGTAGAAACTTTTTGGACTGACTGTGGAATTGTAAGGTGAATTAATAGAGGCTCGCTCGCGTTGTCATTCATTTTCTGGTATTCAAGTTCAATATCATTCGTCGAGAGACAGTTTCTGGTCGCGTGAGAACATTCAGAAAGGAAGCGTGACTTCCACCAACCAGCCAGTGTCAAATGCTCCGCATGTTCAAACGAATTGTGCAATACGTGTTTGTATGCACTTTAGAATCCAATATGAATATGCATTTCATACACGAATCCTAAGTCTGGATGTAACAATAAATATGAGATTAACAAACGTGAATCGATACGAGAATAAATCTAACAATAAGATAAATATATGATTAAGGTATTCATATAAAAGGAAATATGAATACACAACGAAATATAAGAATTCTGATAATGCTTTTATGATTGAGGACAAGCTTTTAAATATGTACCGATACGTTGCAAGAATCGTGGCGCAGATAATAATATCGATCAGGCTAAGAGTACACCTGCAACTTAAACGTTTTAATAGAGCTTTACACTTTGCAATGTTTCGGATCGCTTAGGCTGTCCGTCTTTCTCTGCATTCTACACCTTACCTAGTTTCATCAACGACACCATTTCGAGTGGCTCGACACGAAACTCCCTTGTTCTCGTGCACAGCAATACGATCACGAACCTTAGTAAGTACGAACGTAATCTCTAATCCAGTTCGCATAGTGACACAGTGATCTTTGGCTCATCTAAGACTTATTCTATGTGATCCTCTTATATTACACGTGACTAAATTTAGGTTCAGGATTTTTTGAACTTCTGATGTCGATTTAAGAAATGCTTAAAAATTAACTTCTTAAAACGAAGTGAAACAGTAGTTCAAATTATATTCAACAGTTTCAATGAAGTTCGAAGATTTTTAACTAAATTTCGTAATAATTTTGTTAATGTCAAACGGAAATTGTTTTAACAACGTTTGAACTAAAGTTTCAACTTTCCTATGTTTATCAAAGCTAATAAATTTACTACGTTCTAAGAGACAGAAAACTGTCTGACAGGAATCAATCACGAATCACCGTGCGATGGCAAAGCACATTGAACTTCCAATTCCCCTCCCGCCTTTCGTGATACTTAATTAATAGAACAACCGAGAAATACAAATATATACAAAACTTTTTTCTAGAAACAAAAATCACAATGCAATCACTTGTGTAAATCAGAATCGTAAAGAATGGTTACAGTGCAAGAATTTACGTACTGATTAAACGAATTTCGGTGGTTGAACGTATTTGTAAACATAACAAATGTACTGACCGGCTCCCGGAGGCAGCGAGGCTTGCACCCTGGAGATGTTCCAGTTCTGGAGTAGAAATATCACGATTTGCGCCAGGGCGCCGTGCGAAAATGACAACGCGTTACGCAAAACACCACAGAACGGCATCACGGCCGGATGCACTACTGACTGAAACTACTGGAAGAGGGAGGGACGCTAGGCCAGGTTGTCTCCTGCGATCGCCAGGCCTGCCGAATCTACTGTATACGTTCACACTCGATGCAAACGCAGGTAAAACGCGCAGCCGCGTTTTTCTCTATTGCTCGCTTCAATTCACCTGTTCAACGTACATCGCCCTTCATAATTCTCAAAACAAAACCGTATGAATTAAGCACGAATAATTTCAAATTACATAAAATGGCGAACAGGTCTTTTTGAATCGGTCCTTACCTCGACTTCGAAAAGCTGATTGCAGGGGGCGTTAACAAAGAAGAAGAAGAGGAAGATCTGTGAGAGAAAGAAAGAATGTACGATACAAAATAATATGGCAAGAATATACTGTATTTTTTTTTCATTTAATCGTTATCATACGAATCGCTACCATTTAACGTTACTTACAAGTCATACTGTGGTTGTGTATTCTCACGGATGATGCACGTGTTCTCTGTGTGTATGTGTATACTTCCTTATACATTATCGTTATTTTATCAACTATCCTCTTAACCGTTATCAGTACCATCATTCTCTACTCTCACGTTCTATTCGCCACCGTTTCTCCTTCCTTTATTATTACCATTATTATTATTATCATCATTGCCATTCGTCAGCGTGCATACTCGCTGTCGCTGACAATTACTATGTTCGTCCTGCAGCGTTCGACGCAACGAAACGCAACGCCGTTCGTTTATTAACAGTAATTAAATATTACAATTACAACAGAGTTGGTTCCATTCGTGCGACTCTCGTTACTCTGCCTCAAGGGAGCAACGAAAGCTGCTCGTCTTCGTTTCATAGAAAATATTCTTCATAATAAATTTAATCGCGTTAATTTGTTGTTCGTATACATACTTACATAACAATACACGCCGTGTTTAACGTACATATGTATACATACTCCACGTATGTACAGCCACTCGCGAAAAATATTTCAACGTTAGTTTATTAAATTGCATTAAAAAATTGTTTCTACAAATTTTATTAGCACCGTCGCGAGGCCACTTCTTATTGTACACATTGAAACGAAATTAAAAAATGCACGAACATAAATTTTTTAAATGGGACAACAGTTTTGAAGATCCTAGGATTTATATATACATACGATTTGTACATTTTACACCGCACAGTGCTAATGAAATTCCAAACTTCACATATAAGACACGAATGATTCATAAAATGTTCTTTTCTTCATTAAAATAGCTTCGAGCGAGTCACTGTACGCACACACACGGACACACATGTAAATACATGGATATATAAACTTGTATCTATATATTTATAATAAACATGATTGTCGATGCGTATTTACAATGTCGTATTTACAATGAGTGTGTAGTTCGATGATGAGTTCTGTTACTGGTCATCCCAAAGGGTAATCGCCGGATCTTAAGAGCACTTGGGAAAGTCTTGGACAATTGTATATTCTGAACAGAGTTTCGAAAGTGGATAAAAATTTTTTGTGAAATGGCAGTAGCGGAGGCGAAAGTTCAGCCGACCAGGGCTACAAAAGTTTATTTTCCTTAGTTTTGAAAATTTTCAAATAAGTCGCAGACCAGCTGCTCGGTGGGGCCGTGTCAATACACATGGACACGCAAAAGTTTTTTAATGATTAAAATCACTTGGTAATTAAGAATTTTCCTAAATTAAAATCTGGTTCGCCTAAGCCTCGACTCTTTCCTCGACGAGAATCCTATGGATTAATAAGTTATTGCGAGTACTTTAAACATTGCAACGGTTCACACGATTCCTTTCGCGTGTCCGTGCACGGGGGTATGTGTGCGAGCGCGCGCGCGCGCTCCAGAGATAAAAACCAAGGGGAAGCGAGCGAAATGATGATAAACATTCTAATAATACATAGATATAATGAACCGGGATGCACGAGAGGGAGGAACCCGACGAAAAACGTTTTCAAAATTAAATAAACAAAAATATTTCCGCAACATAAAATCTCGTTTAAATAATTTACTATGTACAGTGTATCTTTTCTCTTTCTTATTCTCCTTTTCGCGAATTTCCGCTTCCTAGAAAAGTAGCTCCTCTTCACGGCATCGTGTCGTCGCGTCGATACCCAATAATTATAAAAAAAAACAAACAATAACAACACCGGCGACGCGCCTCCTCCTCGTCTTTGTACTAGTTTAACTAGCGTAATCGCGTGCCGTTCGAATATTAGGGTTGTTCGTCTACGTTCTTTTCTTCGTTGTGCATGGCACCAAGAATTCGAAAAAGCGAGGAAAACAATTCCCGTGTGTCCCAGTTTCACAAATCCTTTCGTTTCACACCTAATTGCCCGAAATCACGGTGTCATCTTCTAAATTGGCAGTAACTACCTATCTCCATCTTCATTTTCTTTCGATCGTTTCGTTCGAAATGAATTCTCATAATACCCACTGCTTTACCTCTTTCACTTTAAAATCGCAATATATGCACTGCCAAATAGAGCGAAAGTTCAGACAAACCAATCGTCGTAAAAGAAGTGACGGACGTCTAACGTTAGGCTGTAACTTATTACTAGACTGCGAATTTTTATGCAAAAAAAAGTCAATTTATCACTTCGCAACTTGCAAGGCACTTCAGCAATCCTAAATTTCATTTAACGGAATTAGTAGTACTACTAAAAAAGTTTTCACCTTAATATTGTCCACGCATAAAAACCCGCAGCAGACTTATTACACTTCGACGCCGAGGACCCTGTCGACGACGTACTCGTACCTCCTCGGTTCCTCGCCGTCGTTCTCCCCTGTCTTCAACGTCTCAGCTTGGCCCTGTCCGTTCTCTTGACAATGGACAACTTCCGACGATGATGGTCGACCCTTCGCGTTCACCGATTTATTTGTACTGTTCTGTTCGTCGGCCAGCCTGGTACCCTCGGTCCTGCTCGCGGACGCATTCCCGCTAGGAACACTGTTTGACCGTGCGGCCAGGTTCGACGCACCCTGAGCACCATGCCTCATCATCACCGTTGTTGAATCACCGGTGCAGACCGGCTCCGAGGCGTGTCTCCTATGCTGGATCGACGGCGACGACGTTAGAGGGTTCTCGCAGGGCGAATCGTCCGGCGGTAGTACAGGAACATTCAGATTGACGCGCGTGAAGAAGGCCATCTTCTCTCTGAGAGACAAAATCAAACATTACATTGCTAATGTGATACGAAAATCTTACCCTAACATATTAAATACACTGTAATACATCGTTCATTTAGAACAAAAATTTCACATGTATACATACTTGAACGAGATGATATCTGGTTTTCCCTTCCCGGCTTTCGTCTTCCTCAGTTTGTAGATCTCCTTGGAGGTCTTCTTCAGCATCTTCTCGACTCGCTTGTCCTCGGCGCTTTTCCCGTTCTTCCCGCTCTCCGCCTGTGCCATCAAATTCTGGAACTTGTGATCCTCGAGGAGCCACGCCGCGAAATCCGTGTCGCCCTTCTCTCGCGCTTGTTCCAGCCTCTGCTTTAAATCGCGCAACCGGCTGAGCTCGTCTTGAAGATTGTTCAGCCGCGCGTGCTGCGCTTGAAGATCCAATTCCAGGTCCAACGAAGTCCTGGCGGTTGGTGGCAAGTTGCTGGATTTCTTAGAAGCGGTTTTGCAACTGAGTGCGGACAGAGGTCTTCGCCATCGGAGCGACCGTCTCTCCACCGAGTTGCGTTGGAACGGCCCGCCTCTGCGATACAGCGGCATGCTACTATCGCTGTCGCTTCGATTTAGCTAAAGAATTAATCAAACGTTGTACCATTACAAGTAATAAAAACACATTACCGAAATGTAATCAATAATTTTTTAGTTCTCTAGACAAAATACGATTGACAAATTAAGAAACAAAACTTACCCGACAGATGTAATGATTCTTGCTGACCGCGGCACTGGGTGAAAACGTTTGACTTCTCTTGATGACGATCGAATTCTTGTCATCGTGCACGGCACTGGAAACGGCACCCGCAGCAGACAGCTTCCTCTGTTTGCCTTGTTCAGGGATGAAAACGCATTCGGTGTTCGTTTCCTTGTCCTGGGTCTGCCTCGCCTCCTCGTTCAACTCCTCATCCTCCTTTATCATAATAAAATATGAGAATTAAAAAAACGAACTCAATAATACAAAAAAAACTGCAAGAGTTTTATGAATTCTTACTTCGTGCTCTAACACGTCCTCCAGAATATTGTCCTCCATCGTGAACTCAACTATGATTCCTTCTTCGTCACTGTCCTCGCTCCCGCTCTCGCTACCGCCGTTTTCATCCTCTTCCTCGGGGCTGCCCAAGCAATTGGCCAACTCCTCGAGCCTCAACGAGATTGCCGTTTGAAGCTCGTCGCAGCCCTGGTTCCTGGTCAGCGTGGATGTCTGCGAGCTGATGATCGTGCTCTCGTCGCTGCTCTCTTCTTTCGCGTTCTGTCCGCCGCGGTATACAGACAGATCGGACTCTTGCTTGTCGTGCTTCGTCTGTTGCCTGGTCGCCACACTCGTCGACACGCTATTGCTGTTGCTGGTGCTCGTACTCAGACTGTCCGACGGCTGCATGAACCGGAACGAGAGGATGTTGTACCATTTCACGCTGGGCGATTCCGGACTAAAGTCTGCAAGGGACACTTGGGCCGAGCCCTGTGACCAGATCGATTCAAATGTTAATCAAACCGAAATAATGAAAGTATACTTGATGATCAAATTGTAGGAATTAAAATCGTACCAAGCATTCCTCAGACTCGGTGTTGGTGCACCAGACGTTCACTTGCAATGTTTTCGTGTACAGTTTGTTCAATGGTACAGCGATCGGGAAGGTTTCGCCGAACGTTGGTTTACGCAGATCGACGACGGGTTTCGTGCAGCACATGTGATTCACGGGCGGCTGCATCGGTAGCAACGCTGCTTTTATATACCTGAACATAGATAAAAATACATTTTATCCAACCACTGTAATATCGATAAGTAAATTTTAATTACAAATAAATACTTACACTTGCGCGTTGTTAGGAATAAAGAGAGCAGCTAGGTTCCTTGCACGCTCGATTCCAACGTGGAGCAACCCGTCGCTCACAGAGTATCTAAAGAAACAAATTAATAATTAACTAACTAAAATATCTACATAAATATACTGTAGAAAATGTTGTACAGCGATTACCATAGAAATTAGAATTATGAAGAACTTTATATATTAATTATGAAACTGAAAACGAACCTGAGCTTGATCTGCACCTGAGCCGTCTCCAAGCTCATCTCTCCCAGCGCGAGCGAGTCAACGTCCCCGATCACTCCAGGCAATTTCCTCCTATTGGAAGCCTCGAAGACGCCGGAGTCGCCGGCTACACTCTCATCAGATACCGCCGCCGACACAGATCTAGTATTAGTCCCAGAGCTACTGGCTCTCGAACGAATACCCGTGGGTGGCGGCGTCTCGCTGATGGGCGAGAGCGGTGGCGGTTCTTGGGCGACTTGGTGCTGCTGCATTACACAGACAGGCCTGCCGAGGCCGCTGCCCTGTGACATGTTGCCAGACTGCAATTCGACAGGCGGATGAGGTCCGCCGACCAACTTCAAACGATCTTGTACCCCGCAAGGTTGCTCATGCGACGAGCTCTGCTGCTGAATGTGCCTGAGCTCGGCTAATCGGTCCTCTAACTGGTTTCCATCTAAATGAGCGTTGGCCGAGGCGACGGGTCTTTGGTGCTGCCGCCTCTGCATCTCGACGTGTTCATACGCCGGCGGCGGACCCATGGGCGCGTTCTCGTACAGAGGCGAGACCGGAGGACTGACACTGGACAGACTGGACCTGGGAGATAAGCTAGGCTGCGACCTTCCAGGCGACGGCGTGCTCACGAGATTATTCTGCTCGGTGCCTTTCAGCAACCTTTCCACGCGCCTGTGGAGGTCGACCATGTCCACCGGTCGTTCCTGTTGAGAACTGACCGGCCCCAGACACTGAGGACCACCGTAGATATCCGTGAAGCTGAGACCAGAACTCAGCGAACCCTTACTACTGGTCGTGCTCAGACTGCCGAGACTGGAGCTGCTGCTGACGGAAAGCGTACTGGCGCTGAGGGTCTTCAACTGGCCCTCGAGCATCGCCATGGACCGCAACGCGTCCCTTAGCTGCTGCAAGAGTAACTGCTTCTCCTCATGAAGTCTGACCCGATCGGTGATCGTCTTGTTCGACAGCTCGAGCGCGTTGTTCAGGTCTTGCTCGAGTCTTCGTATCTCGCTCTGGATCTTCTTCATATCTTGCTGCGTGCGAGTCCGCGGCGTGATGCTTCTCAATTCTCGCAATAATTGTTCCTTCTCCTGGAACAGGAGTAGTTTGTCCTTGTCGCTCTCCGTTTGTCCGGGAGTCACCTTCTCCTCCAGATCAGCCAGCTGCTGCTGGATATGCTGTATCCTCTTCCTCGCCTCGTCGTACTGCAGCCTCATCCTGGCCATCTCGGCTAATCTCGTGCCTATCGGCACCAGTTCTCCGGACAAATCAGTCTGAGACGCTGTGCTCAGCTTTTCCTGCGGCAAGCTCAGCGTGCTGGCTTCCGGGCTACCCTCGCACAGCTGCAACCGCGTCAGCTCGTCCTTCAGCTGCGCCAGGGACTGCATCAGCTCTGCCTTCTCCTTCTCGCCGGAGCTCAGGGACTTCTGGATGTTCCGCAACTCCGTCATAATAGCCTGCGCCTCCGTGATGTTGTAGCAACCTCCGTGGTGCCCGCTCAATTTCTGTTCAACGCTGTGGGAAAAATAAATTCTTCCATGTAAAAGTGATGTTTAAAATTCCGAGAAAAAAGAATTCTCACTGTTTCTTTTTCTATTCATAGTCGAAAACATGTTCCTGTTTAAAACATTAAGTTGGATGACATGCGTACCTCGCTAGGGTGTCTACTCCACGTTGGGTGCAGTTCATCTCGGCCCGGATCTGTTCGAGTTCCCGTTTCAACCGGGAAACGCGACTCCTCGCGAGAGCGACGTCTGATTTCAACAGATCCGGATCGTACTTGGTACTCAACGAACTTGAACTGGAGCACACTGCGAAGAAGAAACCAGGAATCGAACGATAAAAATTGTCAAATATTTCTTTCACAAATCCTCCGAAAAATATTATTCACTCTTAATTAAAATTCGTCTGTTTATAGAATTTTATGTAAAGGATTGCAGAGGTGCACTTACAACTTGTGCGCGAAGCACCGAGGGTCGTCAGAGCGTTGTTGAGGTGATTGTACTCATCCTGGGCTAGGCACAGCCTTTGTTGCTTCACATCGTAGATTTCCTTCTTCGCCTGTGAACAAATATAAAAAAATCCACGTTAAGTCTAGATTCAGAAATTATATTTAATTAGTAAAAATTATAAACAAATATTAATTATAGTTTTCAATTGCCACTGTTATCTTCGGTTTAATAGATTATTAAAATATTATTGAATACTCGTGTTTTAACTTAATCTGAAAAAATTCGGCAACAGCCGCGAACGACCTCGCATTCTTTCGCCTTTCAGAGACAAGGAAGTACCACTGCACGTAATTTACGCGGTTTCGAACCTTCGGGCTCCTCCTCACTTTCAAGGAATTCAACAGGAATTACGAACTTTCATATAAAAATTACTTTCCCATATGAATGCGAAAAAATTATTGAAAAACTTCAACGAGCATTCAGTCCTATCGATATTAAATTAATAAATATTCTCCTAATCACAAAATCCAATGGGCAGGAACGAAGAGAGCACTGAAACCACTTGAAACAGTAACTGGGAATTTCACTTCGTTTCGATTACACGCTTGGAATGCAATACACTTGCATTTCCAACAGATAACGCAATCATTTCTGTAACAGACCTCCAATTACCAATTCCCAGTATACAATGTAGCAGATTTTAAAGTCTACTCCACTTCCCCAATAGCAGACTCGTGAAATAGAAGTTAATTTATAAATTAACTAAAATTCCTCGACGATGAATCAGGATTCCATTTCCAATCAGATAACAGTGAAGTACGATTACACTTTTAACGAACCGAAGCTGCATTCCCGGTAGCCAAGTATTTCAGTTTCAATGAACATCCGCTTCATATATGACAGACACGCACAAATGATTCTTCATATGTAAGAGCCTTTTACGTATTCACTTCACGTTTATTCGTAGCGGTCGTAAACCGTAGCGAATTCAAATTTTATAAAAACTCAATGCAAATTGCGGAATAACAAAATGAAAGTTATGTGCGATAATAGTTGACAGAATATTGCAGAATTCCACTTGTAAGAATGGAATATTTTATTCCTAATAGAAAAACTATAGAAACCTAATAGAAAATTGCATATGTTCATTTCTAACAGATATCCCAGTAAAATAATAAATACAATACAGGAGTAATTCCCAGACCGCTGATAGCAGACCACTGAAGGTTCAATATTAATGCTATGTACAATACATAAAATGAAACTGAACCTTCGATCTCAGACGCGTATCCTAAACCGATCTTCCAGATCTCTCTACATAACTCTAGGAGTACAGAACCAGAATTGCACTTGCAACGATAAACTGACATTGCACTTGGAGTGAACTTCACACCTAAACGAGCTCCGTTAAAGACTGTCGAGCCGCAGAGATCGAAGGGCACGTTGTTGATCCAGGAAAAGGAATCCTTACGTATTCACAATAATAATAAGCAGTAGCGTCGGTGTCGTCGCGTCTGTAGCATTGCTCCCAGTAGAACCTTTGAATCTGCTCGTCATTTTCGTAATCGTTGTGGTAGCACATCCTCATCCGATATTGGGACACAACGTTCTCGTAGATCTGTTCCTGATGGTGATAAGGCTGCTGCTGCTGCTGCTTGCACTCCCGTTGCTGCAGTTCCGCGTTGCAGTGTTTCTGTCGTTGCTGGAACCGGTGATGATTCTGCGCCTGCTGATGGTAATTGTTCACGTAGGTGCGGTACTGGTGCGCCGGTACGAGTACGCAGAGTGTGTACTGACGGTCCATGCCGGGTACACGGTAGACTAGGCACCAGATTCCTCTTCTTCTTTCTTCTCCTCTTCCTCGGTGGTGTCTCGCTATCTCGTTCCGTGTAGTAGGTACATGCAACGCGGGTAAGCGACACACGGGTTTTCTTCCTCTCCTTCTTTCGTTCGCCGAGCTTCTCTTCTCTTCTCTTCTCTTCACCTCATCTTCGCGAGAAGGCGGCCTCCACGAGACTGGCCGGTTTACGGGGCCCGAAATTCCGATCCCCACCTCTGTGGGTCTCAATTTTTAAGGGATCCCACCTTTTTTCCTCCTTTTTGCCTTCTCTTCCTTCGCTTCTTGCACCACCCGGTCGATCCTCTCCATCCCTCCCGTCTCTCCCACTCTTGGTGTACACCCCTCTCCTCCCTCTACCAGTGTATCCAACATCCTTTCTTCTGGCTCGGCTCGCTCCGGCTCTCTCCGTCCTTCCGTTTTAATCCTTCGATTCCTCTTTCTCCCTCGGGCTCGCACACACCTCTCCGCGCGTGGATCACCCGTACGTGCACACAACCGGAGAGTTCTCTTCTCTCCGCTTCACTGTTCGCTGCCGCGTCTGCCTCCTTCCCCCGTGGGACAGCCTTTTCATTTATCTCGCTTCAACCATGGTGGCCTCAAGCGGCTCTTTCTTACCCGGTGTAAAAAGGCGGGCCTCGGTCCCGAGGACCCCGCCAGGAACGTCACGATCCATCCCTTGCTCCCCTTTCTCCCTACCCAAACGTTCATCTCACTCACTGAAACTTTTCCCTCCCGGCCATCAGCCATTCCTAGTTACCAATAAATCAATGCTCGGGTTTTACACGTGCTCGAAACCCACCGTGAATACTCGAGGAGTACATTCCTCGTGAAATTTTCGCTACGCTCCGCGCCAAATTGCCAGATCGATCAGATCAATAATGCATCTTTATAACTCTGACGTGCGATCGTATACAAAATACTCTACTGTAATTCACGTCAGGTTTACGTTAGGTCAGGGATTTACAATGTCTAAAACGTGCATGGAATCTCAGTTCGCATACAACGTCGAGACAGTGCATGAATCTGCAGTTTAATCAATAACAGTTCAATGACAATAACATCCCTCGGAATTCCAAAGCATCGAGACCTCGGGTTC